CCAGAAACGTGTCAGCGGAGAGATCTGGCACGAGATCCAGATGAATCGTTCGGGTAACGCCACAGGTGAACAGCGAGATGTGCACCTTCTTCACAGCACTCTGCTCTTTGATGTACAGCAGGCCCGCAAAATCGACGCCAGTGTAGGTAAATGGCGCGTCAATTGTCGTCCGGAATTCTGGCAGTCGCGGAGCTTTTGGAGGCGTGTACGCCACGCTCTCGAGACGCTTGCAGACACGGCACGCTACCAACAGGCTCCGAATGTAATGGCAACCACGAACGACCCAGTAGGCAGACCTCAGCTCCGTGAGTGTCTCCTTCACGCCGTTGTGAGCGACTCGGCGGTGGCCGCAAATGACGATCAGGTCAGTGTACCGATGTGTGGTGTGCAGGATAACGAAATCTTTCTGCTCGAACGTGAGTGTCGCCTTCTGGAGCCGACCTTTGCAGCGCAAGATGCCAGAGTCGTCGCAAAAGATTTCGAACTCTTTCTGCCAATTTGAGAACTTGGGGTCCCCGACGACTGACCGCTGCACATCCTTCAACCAGAGCGACTGTGCGTGGCCATTGCCGAGTGAACTTCGGGATTAGGCTTATGTTGCAAGCGACTGACAAACTTCAGTCCTAGAACCGTGACTCTTAGTAGCTTGTTGACGTCGCTGAAGCGGCTGATGTCGACAATCTGCCCGAAGTCGATCTCCGGTGCCTTTGACCCCCGATGAGCAGAAGGCAGCTGTCAGCAGGCCCTTCTTCAGTTCGGCCATTACTTCTTCTGCTCGTGTAGAAGGAGGACGAGCTCCTTCGGGGTTGCACTTCGCAGTGGCGAGCCACAAAGGACCGGAGTACCAGATGGTCTGCTCTAGCTGGCTCGGCTTCACTCCCCGAGACGGAAAATCTGCAGGGTTGGAGTCAGTCGGGCAGTACTGCCAAGCTGATGACGGGACAAGACGTCAGATGGATTGTGCACGGTTCTCCACAAACTGCTTCCACTCGTGCTGCTCTCCGACAATCTAACTTAGCGCGACTTGCGAATCCGTCCAACAGTGGACCTCCTCGATGTTAACTGCGCCAGTCAATACTGAAAGCACCGACGACACGAGTCGGGTCAGGACTAGCGCCGCTATGAGCTCCAAGCACGGGATGGACTGTTACGTGACGGGTGTAACTCGGCTGTGTTTTGCAACTAGTTGGACTTGCGTGTCTCCTTTCCCGTGGCTGACCAGGTACACTACTGCTGCAAATGCCCTGACAAATGTATCGCAGAATCCATGAAGCGACACTGTTGCTTGAGAACTGGCGCCATGGAAATACCACCGGGGAAGGCTGACTGGCTCCACAGTGGTGAGACCAGTGACGAGCGTACGCCAAGTTGCCAGCTGCTCTCCCACTAGCGGCTGGTCCCACTCCAGCTTGGCTTTGCACAGTTCATGGATAAACATCTTGAGTGCCACCGTCACTGGCGTGATGAAGGCGAGTGGGTCGAATATCCGGGATGATGCTGACAGCGCTTGGTGCTTGGTGATGGTGTCACGAAGACAGCGCGGACATCTAAGACCAGTGTGTCTGTTCTTGGCATACGACTGCACATCTTGGGTTACTGTGGTACAGTCTGTTGCGCTGGAGCTCGCATCGCTTTCGTCGCCGTGTGCTCGAGCCATCAGTCGCTCGCATTTGAAAGCAAACTTTTTCAAGTTGAAGCCTGCCTCAGCGAGACGCACCTTTGTTTTCACGTAGAAGGGGTACGCTGCTTCTTCATCGGTATCACCACCGGCTATATCGTCCACGTACAGCGACTTGACGAGCTGTTCGACATGTTGTGGATTGTCGACAGCATACTAATCCATGTGGTGGTGTATGGTGGCATTCAGGAGGAATGGGCTGGAGGACACACCGAATACCACTCTGGTGAAGCGGTATGTCAAGGTGTTGGAATGATTGCTGTTGACATCATCGACCCATAAAAAATTGTAGGACGTCTCTGTCTTCCATGGCAATGCTGACCATCAGGAATGCCTTTTCAATGTCCGCCGTCACCGTGATCTTGTTCACATGGAAACACATAAGAATATCTGGAATGTGCTCGAGGAGAGGAAGCCCGGTGTGGAGGCACTCATTCAGGGATAGCGTGGTGCCTGCCTTGGCCAAGGCGTCATACACCACGCGGACTTTCGTGGTGCTCTTGCCCTCTCGGATCACGAGATGGTGCAGCAGATAATGTGTGTCGCCTGGCACATCGCTTTTGGTTGATGGCACAAGCTCGACAATCCCAAGCTCCAGCTGCCGCCTCATCACTGCGTTGTACTCCTTTCGTACTTGCGGTAGCCGCCGTAGCTTCTTCAGGATAGACTGTAGCCGGCGTTCACACAACTGGTGGTTGTCCAGTAGCATCCGGTGCATCACCCTCCATGGAAGATTGACCACGTACCGACGACCATCAAGCTGGATGGTGTGCAGAAACGTCTCCATCACCTCGGGCTCGTTGGTCATTATTCTGATGGACTCCAAGGTCCAGAACTTCTGGACGGCATGGAGAAGCGGCTTATCCATGTCGACCTCCGAGGTGACAATGTTGCAGCTAGCATGTGAGACTGGGTGGACCATGGTGTGGCTGCACGAGGGAATGGCTGATGCCCTGACAGGACCCACCCGAGCCGTGTGTTGGCCCACCCTCATTCCGCCGCACATCACCGGTGGCAATCTTGCAATAATAGTCTGCACCGATGAGGACGTCAAACTGGATAGTGCCTGCGCTGTCATCCGCCAGGGAGAAACCCTCGAGCGCTGCGTGCTGCTGGGTGGCTAGATGCGGATGCTGGTTGTGGACGGGTGGCACATAGCGTTGGACATACCACAGTCCAAGTCAATCACCCCGCCATCGGTACTTTGAACGTGGAGACGGATGATCTGCACACAGCTGGCAGCACTGCCCTCGTGTGAACCAAACGGCTTCAGGCAGATCCACTCATCTTGAAGGGTTGGTAGACCGAGCTGCTGTTTCACATCATAGGCCACGACGGATCTCTGGCTGCCGCCGTCCATAACTACTTTGACAGTGGTGGTGCGGGTTGGGTCTGCTAGGGAGCAGACTGTAGCTTTAGCCGTCTGGAGCAGCACGGCTCCACCATTGCCGACCGTGTTCACGACGGGGGATGTGCCCGCTTCAGTTGAGGGACCTTGGCTGGCGACGCACGTACTTGGTGGCCGTGCCGAAAGACTTGCCTTTGCCAGCAAGCGCTGGTGTGCCATCCCAGATGCTGACGTGATGTCGCCGGCTGCACTTGGCGCACTTCAACGTTGATTGGCAGTTGCGGGCCAGGTGGTGCTGCTTGAGGCACACGAAGCAGCGCCCGTTCCGTTTCACGATTTCCTTCCTTCTCACGAGTGAAGTAATGACGGAGCACTGTGCGGCAGCGTGATCCTGTGAGCAGTACGCACAAGGGTTGGTGGACAACACTGCTAGTGCAGACGCCGTAGCTGGTCCGAACCGGGAAGGCTTAGCGGATGGCGGTGACCGGGAGCCCAATGTTGTGTTGGTGATGTTGTGCGTTTCATCCGCCTCCGTGCGGAAGTCTGCATGCGGAAGTCTGCTTCCCGCAGCACCCACTGCAGTAGGTGTGGTACAGAGTCTTCAGCACCTGTGTCACATCGTCGCCTGATGTTGTTGGTCAGCAACTCCGGACCCAATTTCTGCTGCAATTGGGTGCAGAATGTCCCTGCAGTCGCTTCGTCATGTCGTCCGACATCCTGCAGGTTTATGATGGCGACTTGCAGCAAGTCAGCAAATCGCTCGAACTCTGCGGCAGTGCAATCCCGGAAGGGCATAAACAGTGAGAGTCAATGATTTGTTATTGTAAGGTAAATATTTCTCTCTTGTCTCAATGGAGAAAACTCAAAGAACAAAGCAGTGAAGCATGCGGCCAGCAAATCAAGGTACGAGCGTTGCCATGGCGGATCGCCAGCAACGTAGCCAGTATACGACAAAAAGAGATAGTGCGGGAAAGCAAGAAGGTACAAGAAGACTGTAAACTCAGGTAAATGCGAGAGAGGAGTTGGTGATAATCAAAAATGGAGAAAGGAAGATCAGAAGAGAGAGAAAGGGAGAGAGAGAGAGAGAAAGAGAGAGAGAGAGAGAGAGAGAGAGAGAGAGAAAGAGAGAGAGAGAGAGAGAGAGAGAGAGAGAGAGAGAGAGATAGAAAGAGAGAGAGAGAGAGGGGGAGAGAGATAGAGAGAGAGCTAGGGAACGAGGCTGTCTGCTGATCGTACGCAATATCTCACAACAGGCCCTGCCACCTCGGCCTTCGTCTGATGATGGTCTGATGAAGGTCTGATGGCTCCGACTTTGAGCCAACAGTTGGATCAGGATCGCCAAGTCTTGGACATCTACACTGATAGCCGCTGAGCTCAGTACTGCAAAGTCTAGCAACACTGGGCTCACGTTACCAAAAATATACCGCTGAAAAGCAGAGCTAAAAACACTCTCTACTGCACTCCAGGGTGTGACTTCACATCATAACGGATAAATATTTCCAGCAGATGGCGACTCCCATTGCAGAGGGTTTTCTGGGTCGCCCTCGCACCACTCTAGCAACTACTGTCATTGCAGACCTGACCGGATATGGCCCAACTACGCGAACACAATCAGATCTACAAGTTTGGAGAACGAGAACACAATACATAAAAGGAATGGGGTGTCGTAAAGAGTACATGCTATGCCACAAGACCCGCCAGTTGTAGTCACTACAATGAATTATCTACATATGCAATGCTCCACAGCATGACTAACTCGATGCCCAACCCTTAACTGCCTGCAACACCCACTCTCAAACTCCAAAAAACAACTAATGTCACGGATGAAACACCTGGCCTCTATTTCTCATGGCTTTGTCTCGTTGTATTTTCTGTGTCTTTAATGTCTAGCATGGGCCAAACGAAGAGTTGAAGGTGCTAAAATAATACTGGTACACTAGAGTAATGATGTAAAGCACAATTCAAGGGACCTACCTTTTGCATGCTGAGTAAGCCTGAGCTCCAGGTCCGCAGGTTCAATGTGACTGAGGAAGGTTGGTATCAACTGAGCCCTGCTTTTTTTCGTAGCAAGAGACAGGCTCTCGAACAGGACTGTCAAGTTGCAGAATGCACTCCTAAAAAACGGATTACCCTTGAGGTTGATTTGATTGACATTGATGCTGGGAAATTCACATGGAATATACACATCGTTCAACACAAATCGGTAGAGATAGATAGATAGATAGATAGATAGATAGATAGATAGATAGATAGATAGAGAGAGAGAGCGAGAGAGAGAGAGCGAGAGAGAGAGAGAGAGAGAGAGAGAGAGAGAGAGAGAGAGAGAGAGAGAGACAGAGAGAGGGAGAGAGAGACAGAGAGAGAGGGAGATAGAGAGAGAGACTGAGTGAATATTTTACGCAATTTGGGGAAACTTGTGAGTCTATATGACGCTTTGCTTCTCCTTTTGGGTACTATAATCAAGTTAGTCAATGTGATGGTAGTAGTCTTGGCCAACATCTCCCAACAGTTCACAGGCCCACTAGCCAGGACCATAAAGTCGAGGAGTTGGCTATTTGCCTTACTTTTTAGCATTTTTGTCCAGTGGCTGAATGGCACACCCTCATAGCGGTAAAAGGGTTAAATGATAGCTGCTGTGTGGTAGCGTCATTTGGCCGAAGGAGTGATTGGCCGTTGGGAAGTGAGGTTGGATGTGCTTGGAGATCTGGTCAGTAACTATCCTCTCTTGCCCTTTCGACGTTACACTGAACAGTGATATCGGTCGATAGTTGGAGGGATCGGTTCTGCTGCCCTTCTTGTGGATGGGGGTGACTGTGGCGTCCCACCACTCTTGCAGGATAGTGCAACTTTCGAAGGATACAATAATTTAAAAAGGGTTGCTAGGGACAGCGCAAGTGAACTAGCTACCTCTTTCAGTAGGCGGGTTGGTATGCCATCACAACCAAGGCTCTTTGACATGTCGAGGTTGTGTGTGTGTGTGTGTGTGTGTGTGTGTGTGTGTGTGTGTGTGTGTGTGTGTGTGTGTGTGTGTGTGTATTACCCTGATGCCATCAATCCATATTTTCTACACCTTGTCCTCACCCACTTACTGAGGTGTGGCGAGGCGATAAGTGGCATCATTTCCAAGTTCACCCATAGTTTGGTGATTTCAGGGGTGTCGGCCATTGGGCAGTTCAATGGCCAAGAGTCATCTTTCCAAGATTCCTTGAGTCTCTCCCCCATCTCCCCATGTGACCAGGTTTAGTAGTGAGCAAGTACATGTACAAGGATAAGTGTGTACATGTGTGTGTGTGTGGGGGGGGGGGGGCTGGAGGTGAGTGTTTGTGCTTGTGCGTGAGCAAGTGTGTGTGTCGAGAGGCGGGGGGGGGGGGGGGAATGTCGGACCCAAGGAGGACATCATATTACTGAAGTGCTTATTGTGTAGCGGGCCGCAGTCTCTCGAAGGCAAAAATGTAAGGGTCTGGTGAGCTCCAGAAGAACCTCTAAGGGCCAAGCAAGAGATGGTTTGAGGACATCGTAAATGTTCTACAGTCAATTTCAAAAACATTGACAGGCCTGGCGATCGCCCGGGGAGTTTCCTGTCTTACCATATATGGTGCCTGGAAAAACTTGCTCAGAACTCGAAAACATATTCTGCGCGAAAGCATGGAAAATATCAACTCATGCACGCCTCTACATGCACGTCTGGTTTACAACAAACCACTAACTTCTTGCTTGTATCGATGTAGACGACAAGTTGAAACCGTGGTAAATGTTGAAGCGTGCCATGAGTCCCAATCTGTTTCGTAACCAAATAGTTTATAAATTGACGATCGTGAAGTACTAAAATAATTCTCAACAAGAAGCCGATCCGACAATGTGCCTGTATTGAACACCTAGGTACAGCCCAATGACTTCTACTCACACAGTTTCAGTATTGTGTGTCTGTTCACATGGGGTGAGCCAGTCAAGTGTCACTCAGTCGGCAGGAAGCGCGAAGTCCAAAAACAACATTCGACAAGTTGTTTGGGGCAGCCACCTTCTTTGACTTGATTCACCAACATAACGCGGAAAGAAAGTTTGAGTGTAAAACAGGTTGGGATTTGAACCCACAACTTCATGGTCAGCAGACAGCATTCATAACCACAAGGCCAAAAAGGCAAGATAAATCGCCACTGGCTTCCTGGGCAAAGTCAAAACCAGGAAAAAAGGCCAGAAAGAGGCCAAAATCCCTAACTCCGTAACGGCTGGTCCACTTGTTCCGAAACCTTCACAGAACAATTTGCCATGCCCTAAGAAGCCATTTTGTATAATTTATTTTCCGATTTCCACCGATCTTCATACTTTATAAGAGCAAAAAATGATTGTCAAAGTTTTTGAACTGAACTGTGGAAGAATGGCACACCAATGATTCTTGCAGCCTAGCCAAGGACAATGGAGTGGAGACTGGCCTGCAAAACCATCCAGCGGCCTAAACCTGTGTCTTGGGATTTCAGGTGCTACTGCAGCCCGAATTTTGCCATCGCCAAGACCCCACTCGCCACTCAAAGTTCTGTTCTACGGGACTGAAACACTAGCGGTTCTTTCAGGACATGCTATCGTCTGTAGATTGGCATTATTGTTTTATAGTTTTTGTATTGCACCACGCGTTGCCCGCTACTTTTCCTAGTTTGAGCACTCTGGCGCTAGAGCGATGAGCTATATATTTAATGTCAGTGGTGCCTCCTTTGCACGATGGCTTGTAGCTCGGGCTATTTAGCTTGTAGTTGTACTAATAAGGCCTCTATTGGCGAAACATCTTACTGTCTACAGCACTGGTTATTATGCTCCTCGACTTTTGTCTTGTTGAGCACTCTCGGTAGGCAGCTCTATTGCTGCAGCATCTTACAATGCTGGCTACGTTTCGTAGTTTGAGCACGCTGGAGCTAGAGCGATGATCTATAAATTTATTGTCTGTGGTGCCTCCTTTGCACAATGGCTGGTAGCTCGCCCTATTTAGCTCGAAGCTGTACTGGTAAGGCCTTTATGGTCGAAATAGCTTGCTGACTACAGCATTGGGTAATTATTGAATTGTGTGTGTGTGTGTGTTTGTGTGTGTGTGTGTGTGCGCGTGTGTGTGTGTGTGTGTGTGTGTGTGTGTGTGTGTGTGTGTGTGCGATAGTGAGTGTTGCACATTTTTACTTGTATTGATCAAAGGGCTGCGTCACTTAGTCTCTATGCTCTTTTTTCTACCAAAATGAGCTCCTCCATAATGGGAAGAAACAGGGGTAACATACCTGGCAAACCCCACACTGAGGAACATTTCGCCTGGAAGAGATGTGATCTGGTTGTTGCTCAAGTCCCTGATGAGAAAAATGAAAGAAAATTAGCATGCACCATAAATATACAGGCGATACAACTGGACAGCACATGCCAAAACAAAACTTTACAGACAAAGCGCTGCTACTCAGACAGATGCCATAGTTGAAGGGTTATCTGCTGGTGCTGTTTTTTTTCTTTATTTAAAAAGTCGCATCGCAAATAGCCAACTATCTCTCTCTCTCTGTCTCTCTCTCTGTCTCTCTCTCTCTCTCTCTCTCTCTCTCTCTCTCTCTCTCTCTCTCTCTCTCTCTCTGTCTCTGTCTCTGTCTCTCTCTCTCTCTCTCTCTCTCTCTCTCTCTCTCTCGCTCTCCCTCCCCACCCACTCTTGGTGCGTCTAGGTGGCTATGAAGTCGAGACCCTAGGTCGGCGGAGCTCCCTAAACCTCACCACCACTGCCACGATTCAGGTTGTGCGTGCTTCCCCTAGCTGCATCTCATGCTTGGCATTAAGTGGTCTTTGTAAAAAAAAAAAAATATATATATATATACAGGGGGAAGTGGTCCCGTCCACCGCAAAGAGGGCTCAACAGCGCTGGGGTGCACTGGAGCTAGTACACGAAAAAGAAAAATAACATGGTTCAACCCTCCTTTCAGCCGTAGCGTGAGAACAAACGTCGCTGCTGCCTTCCTCACAATGATCGACCGGCATTTCAAAAACACCCCCCTGAAAAAGATCTTCAACCGACATAACGTGAAGGTTAGCTATTCATGTATGCCCAACATCGCAGCGATTATCAGTGGGCACAACAAGCGGCAACTGATACAAGAACCTCCTGAAAAGCCTTGCAATTGTAGAAAAAAGCAGGAATGCCCCATGGAAGGACGTTGCCAGGCCTCTCACATCATCTATGAAGCACACGTCACCAGCCAGGATGAGCTAAGGACATACATCGGCTCAGCAGAGACAACGTTCAAAACAAGATACAACAACCACACGATGTCCTTCCGCCACGAAAAGTACCGCACTAACACGGAGCTCTCCAAACACCTCTGGAAAAAGAAAAACGACGACAAAGAGTATCACCTGTCCTGGAGAATCAAGGACAAGGCCAGCTCCTACAACCCCGCAACGAAGAGATATTGCCTTTGCACCACGGAGAAGGTGCGTATACTCACTGCTGACAAGACCAAAAGCCTCAACAAGCGAAGTGAAATCATCGCCAAATGTCGTCATGCAAACAAATACCGGCTCGCTAAGTATAACGGAATCACGTAAAACCGGACATGGGCAGAGCAACCTGATGCCCAATGAAACCAGACACACTGCACCATTATTGTTATGATTAACGCCAAATATAGCACCGTCATGGCCTTACACCCCTGACGCCAGACATGCGCTAGTTAACTCCAGATTTACATGCTCCATTCAGCGCTTGTTACAGTAATGGACAATTGATATCAATATTTTACACTGCCTGCACCTAGCGGTAACTCTTCACTCTTCACACTTCACGCTTTCTTTTTGTGCGCCTTGCTGTGTGGTTGTGTATTTCTTTAGTGGACCTGACAGCCCTGTTTTAGTTAGAAAAGTTGCCTGACGATTGAAAAACTCAAGAAACTCGGAGTAGCAACGGATTGTGTTTTCTTGGTGAGGACCGCTTCCATTGTATATATATATATATATATATATATAGGAAGCTTGGGAGCAACCACTGCACGAGAGAGCTCAATACCTTGCGGCAGAGCAATAATACCCGAAGGGAAAACAATGGTTACCAGGAAAACATCACTTCACTTTTGCTACTCAAGAGTTTCATGCACAAGCGGGTGCAATCATCAGGCAGGCAAAAAGCAACAATAGTGGGCCAGCCAGAACAAGGGGTCTTATAACAGGCAAAGTGCCGACACGCCAGCAGATACTGCCTGAAGGACTACGCAGGGGCAGCTATCACCTGAAGCCCCCACATCCACCTAGGGAAATCAGCGCTGTCTACACATCCCGTAACTATTATCCCTCATGGCGCTGATTTCCCTAGTGTGTGCTCACACGGGCACCAACTGGCTTTGCACTAGCCCAAATTGCTCTTTCCTTTGACTGGCACTAATTTTCCCTGACCCTGATCTTGGCTCCTATCATTCTCACCTCACCTCGCCAGGCCCTGTTATAAGACCCCTTGTTCTGGCTGGCCCACTATTGTTGCTTTTTGCCTGCCTGATGATTGCACCCGCTTGTGCATGAAACTCTTGAGTAGCAAAAGTGAAGTGATGTTTTCCTGGTAACCATTGTTTTCCCTTCGGGTATATATATATATATATATACTTACGAAGTAGTGGTTGCGACTTCGGCAATGATTTTGTAAGAAAGGTTTGCTCCCCACACCGGAGCTCGCGCTATTCCGCCGACTTTACTTGACACTTGACTGACTCACGACTGCCATCCAGAGCACACGAGAAGTCCATCGAACCTTCGACTCGGCAAACCTGCAAGAAAGCACCACTCCCTGCTCAATACACAGTGTTTCGGGGAATTCACCCCTCATCAGTTGAGCTTGAGTAGGCTGAGGAAGATTGTGCCTGAAGAGCACCACTTATATAGTGCTCTCCAGGCACAAACATCACCAGGGATACAAACTTACAGAGACGCTCCGCTTCCAGCGCGACGAACACCTCGTGAACACCAGATAGCAGCGTGAGTCAGTGTCGCTCCTGGACGGTGAGACAGACGTCGAGGACCCTCGGTCATTCGCAACGCTGTCACCTCCAAACCAACTAGTCGCCAGCCCGCGCGGAGCGTCTCTGTAAGTTTGTATCCCTGGTGATGTTTGTGCCTGGAGAGCACTATATATGTGGTGCTCTTCAGGCACAATCTTCCTCAGCCTACTCAAGCTCAACTGATGAGGGGTGAATTCCCCGAAACACTGTGTATTGAGCAGGGAGTGGTGCTTTCTTGCAGGTTTGCCGAGTCGAAGGTTCGATGGACTTCTCGTGTGCTCTGGATGGCAGTCGTGAGTCAGTCAAGTGTCAAGTAAAGTCGGCGGAATAGCGCGAGCTCCGGTGTGGGGAGCAAACCTTTCTTATATATATACTTAGTAAGACTATGCCTGTAGCTGCAGAAAAAGTGCTCAACATCCAATTTCTTGGGGGGAGCAATGACACATGTCAACAAACAATGGATCACTTGTAATATTTCACTACTCCGAGTTTCATGCACTGTGTGCAATCATCAGGCAAACAATATTCAATATATATATATAGAACAATAGAAGTATTTCTTGCGTCGGCAAAAAGTGCTCAATGTCCTAAGACAGAGCGGGGTTATACACTCAGACACAATGGATCTCCAAGTTTTATTGCACGACACTCAGAGTAGCAACACTGAGAAACTTGGAGATCCTTTGTGTCTGAGTGTATATATATATATATTAACTGGTTTGAGGGAAAGAGACAAACGGGAAAAGTCTGAAGAAAAAATTGACTGTCACCACCAGGACTCGAACCAGGGACCCTCGCTTGTAGCCAGCGATGCTCTAACCACTGAGCTATGGTGTAGTCGTCATCCCAGCAGAGGCCGTTCAACATTTTTTTCAGACTTCGTAACTCACACTTCCTGTGAATCCACACAGGCGGGTGGGATGCAGCCCTCACTGTAACCCACACACTTCACGTACAAACTAGCATATATATATCTACTTAGGTGTTTGCAGGACTATATGAAGGAATAATAATATACAAAAAAGAGGAATGGAATGATTTTTAACTCGCAGAGAATGCTACTCGGATGGAGAGCCAAGGATATATTTATAGAAAAGAAAAAGAACCAAGGAACTACAAGTTGCGCTATACTGTCCACCAATGTCTTTAACAGGTCATGCTTGTCTTGGTTGCGTTCACTTTCCCCTCCTATGTGATCATATAAGTTACAATCTTCCAAGTTGGAAGGCTGTTGGGGTGTGCATACAAGGCATGCTACAGCTGATAGCCAGTTAGTTGTGGAACGTTAGTACCATCAGTCAGTGTCGTGCAATGTTATCACATGAGCTGATTGTTTAGTAACAGGTGGTGTTAGTGGACATGATAGTGTACCTTGTAGTTCCTTGGTCCATTTTTTTCTTTAATAATTAAAGATATGAAATAAATATTTGAACAAACGGGGAGAAGACAATAATTTGATAATAATAATAATAATAATTTTTTCTTCAGACTTTTCCCGTTTGTCTCTTTCCCTCAAACCAGTTAATAAAATAATAATAATAATAATAACGACAGTTCGCATTTCACTCATTGCATGAGGTCAACACATCTGTTAACAATTTTGAGCCAAGCAGCTCTATCAGAAGCAGATTTCACAGCATCCAGAAGCGACAGATTAATGCATTGTAAGTCTTTCTTGACAACAACGGAAGAAACTACGTACCATCATTGGTATCACGTACCCACAACGAATCTCGCTGTATGCCAGAACCGAGCAGACCCCACTATCCCAAGTCTGCAGGCAACGGAGACTGCTGTGGTTTGGCCATGTAGTGAGGGAAGGCGAAGAATCGTCCTCTTTCCAAGCCCTCCTAATGTCAATCAACTAGGGGTGAAACAATTATACCGAATACTCGAGTACTCGCTCGGTTTTTTCATAATCGTACTCGGAATAAATCAGAGTACTTGTTCATACATGGTACATGCATTTACCACAGAAATTTGCAGTTTCAGAGCAGCGGTCGGCAGATATTGATGTGCAGACTGTGTGGTGAACATTTGTTCACGAGTAGAGAGAGCCCAAATGACCCACCAACCAATATACACATTGTACCAGAGAAACATGACTGCCACTCGGTTCAATCAGGGTTGTATCATGTGATTTTAAGGCCCTCGGTGTGCAATTTTTAGGAGATGAAGAATACTCGAGTACTCGAATATTCGATCGGAGAAAATCAGAGTACTCGAACTCGGGATCTAAATGCCAACTTTCACCCCTACAATCAACACAACAGACATACGACGACCCCGAGGACGACCACGTCTGAGGTGGATCGACGTTGTCAAGAAAG